CAAACCCACCAGCCACTCCTCAGAAGGAAGATGGGGCAATCTACTTCCGTAGTGATACTGCCTCAGAAGCCCAAGGAGGGGTCACTATGAGTCGGGTATGACTCGATGGCACATAACAACAACAACAACGTTATTATAGGCAATATTCACATTTTCCCAATTACACCAAAATTGTCTTTTATAACTGATTTTAGGGGAGGGAAAGTCAATCAAAGATCATGTACTTCATTTAGTTTTTATGTTTCTCTTGTCTCCTTTAATTTGGATAATCTTTGCCTTTTTTGCCCTTGATAATATTGGCATTTCTTAGTGGGGAGGCTAGTTGTCTTTTAGATGTTACATTCTGTATTGTCTGATTGTACTTTCATAATTACATTCAAATTAAATATTTTTTGGCAAGAATACTACATAACCCCCCCCCCCCAAAAAATATTACATAGGGGATAATAAATTTATCATTTCATCACTTCAGAAAGCACAACATGTCTGTCCCATTAAGGGTGATATTAAGTTTGATCACTTAGCTAAGGGGATATCTGGCTTTATCATTATAAAATGAATAATTTCCTGCCCATGGCACAGTGTACAGTGCGCAAAACAGGCACTCAGTAAATATTATTGGATGAAGGAATGAAGACCAAATTCTTGATGAAAGCTATTACTCGTGTATTTAGCAGTGACCTCCCTAAGATTGGCCACTTTGTTTCTGGGATAAAGCAGGATTTTGATTGCGTGTTTCAGTGCCAAAAATAGGTTGGTGGGTCTTTTCTGCCTGCTTGAAAACATTCCATTTGTTTCGTGTTTGCCAAACAAAATATTTGCCAAACAAGTGTATTTAATAATAGATTTCTTTTTGTAGGCTGAACATATGCAGAAGAAAAGGAGAAAACAAGAAAACAAAGATGAAGGTAAAAAGTGAGATTCTGAATCAGTTCATTTTCTGTGTTTTTGTGGCAGCAAAGCATATACAGTATTTTGTTTTTGTTTTTGAGGGTGGGCAACTAAGAGAGGTACAAAGAACCTTTTGCTTCTCATTCACATATTAAGATATGGCCTATGCATGTGAATTAAACATTTACCTCAAGTAGACACACGCCCTGGAGAGAACAATCATGGGAGAAGGAAGGGCTGCTTATGCACAGGGAGACAGCTC